CAATTCACCAATTTCAATTTTTGGATGACTTTGGAGACAAGAACATCCTCGGGAAAACTATATGTACGATGTACCCGTCCACAAATTTTCAATTCCAACTCTTTGACATGGCGCGTAACAGCACTAGCAAGCCAACCATCCAAGCGAGATTCCAACTCTGGATCAAAATAGATGAGGCATAGATTAAGCTTATTTATATCCATACCTGATTTCATAGCTCGATCCAAAAAGGCATACAAATTTGTCCTCAAACTAAGAGGTGTCTCCATTGCTTTAAGAGCATCATCCTCACCACCACTCAATCGTCTATAACAGCAGGAATCATTTAGATGTAAAGAGGGCAAGCTTTCGGATAATGCCCTCCAACGGCTTGACAAAATGCTTGTTCTAACAGCTTCCCTGGTTTCTAGAAACAAAAGTATCTGCTGCCTAATTGAGTCGGGTAGGTTAGAGATTCTATCAGATCCATAAGAGTTCATCTCGTAAGCAGGCTTCTTCTCCGCATTCATTTCCATCTGACAAGTGCGCTACTGCATCAAAATATGATTGTCATTATCTTCATACAGAATGGAAGAAATTCTGAGACATAATAAAAAGAGATTAAAAATGTGGATGAGTGAGTTCAAAGGGAATTAGGGCTTCACCGAGAAGTTTGAGGGAAATTGGTGTTCAAAACCCTGCGGAAAATCCTTTGACGGGGCAACTCAACCCACCGAAATCGAATTGCACGCCAAACTCCAGCTCTAAACACAATATCAGATCATATGAGAAGCAGAAATTTCAGGGAGAAGTGCCGTCCCTAATTGCGAAATCTACGTCTCTGAAGAAGCAGTGCCGTGGTCGATCGCCTGGCCGGATTATTTTAGAAAGGAAAGATGCCCGTAACTAATAAGGGGGCGTTTGGTTAGAAAGGGAAAGTAAACAGTAAAGAGAATAGAAAGAAAGGCAATGATTACCCTTCAATTACCCTGTCTCTCAATTACCATGTTTGTTTGGTTTAGTATAGGAAAAGAAATTGGAGCGGGAGTGAAAGAATTGGAGCTGGAGGGGGAGGAATCGGAGCTGGAGGGGAAGGGAGAGGAAATGGAGCTAGAGAGGGGAGGGGAGGAACATACCTTGACTGCGATGCGGATGGAGTCGCGGTGTGGCGGCAAGACATGGTGTGGCGGCGAGAAGCGGCGTGGCGGCAAGATGCAATAGGGTGGCGGCGAGACGCGGTGGGGTGGCGGCTAGAAGAAATGGACGGGAAAAAAGGATTAGGGAAGCGGAAGAGGAGAATGAGAATAAGAAACCCTTAGAGCAAGTATAATGGCAAGTCATATTCTGGAATGCCACACGCTGACATGACACAGTTCAACCAATCAAAGTTAATTTAGTCATGGTGTGGCATGGCATTGGAGTAGTATATCCTCTAGTGGCAAGTAAACATAATATGCACTATATTAATTTCCATATCATATTCAAAAGAGGGGAAAATAGCACTTGCAGTAAGACGGATCAGAGTATATCAATTTCCATATCAAATTGAAGAGTGAGGAAGAAAAAAGATAGAGTCCCGGATAAGAGTATATCAGAGGTAAAAAGGTACAGAGATGGGTAATTTTCAGAGCAATTAAACAAGAGATGGAGTGGCAGAGGGTACCGATGATTTTCGCGTCGAAGATGGTGGCCGGCGATGGTGGCGAAAGAGCACCGACGATTGACGGACGATGGTGCAACGGATGATTTCCCTGGGAAGAGAGAAGAGAAGTGCCCAAAGGAGTGACCGGTGATTGCCCTAGATCCCCTTTCTGCTGTTCCTCTTTTGCCTCGCACTCGCCACGATTTTTGGAGTGGCTCGCGACATCACACGCGATCCAATTTTCCCCTCTCCCGTTGTACAGCTTCACTTTCCACGAATGGCAAGGCGTGACAATGTAAATCTTTGCCGCTGCCCATGCTCTTATAGGAAGTGGGGAATGGGAAGACGGGAAACGGGGTAATCTAAAACCGAAAAATGGAGAATACTTTTTTTAAAACAAACTACAACGAACAAAATCTGGGAATTCTATTCCGTATCCCGTTTCCTTTACCCCGAACCAAACGCTCTCTAAGGGGATGGTAACGGTAAACAAAAAAAGCAAATTTAAACTGTACTTTTTTTCACTTTTAATACCACCTACTCCCTAGAAACTAACTTCCTAGTTGTTTCACTCATAGTTTTCAAAACCGGACCAGCGACCGAATCGGTCAATGTACTGATTCACTAGTTCATTGGTCAGACCGGTGGTTCAAGTGATTGAACTAGTAGTTCATCCCTAAAATTTTCTCGTTTTAACTTTTTGTAATTTTTAAGAGTTGAAAAAGATGGAAGTTTATCATAATAACCTTAATAAAAATGGGTAGAGTGTATTAAATGAGGTAGGTGAGGTGTAATAAATAAAGTAAGTGAAGATAGTTATGATATTTTAATTATTTAAAAAGGTAATGAGAAAGACGAACTTAAAAGTTACCCTAAGCCCAAGGTATTTCGTTGATTTGAGTATTTGACAAAGTTATTTCAAGGGATCTAAATAAGTAAGTTACCCAAAATAATCTCAACTTTACCCGATCTTTTAAAAATAATTCCACCTTTCACTGTGATTCATAATAATCCCAACTTTATTGAAATTTGTTAATTTTGGGTCGCCGCTAAGTTTTTAACGGAGGATAAACGGAAATACCAATTTTAGGCAACAAAATGAAAGTTGGATTATTTTTGATGAATTTTTGTTTTTTACTTTTTTTTTTGAAATTTTTATTTAAATTTTTTGAATTACTTTCAACCTCCATTTTTTTTCTTTTTTAAAGATTATTCTTACCACAGAAAAAAAATAGATATAAAAAATAATGAAAATGAGAAAAATAACTAAAATAAGTAAATATATACGGAGTGGTGGGTTTTCACATTTTACACACTATACGAAGGCTTAATGTACTACTTATTTTTGTAAATAATTGTGTAAATAATTTTTTTTAAAAAATAAGAAGTGATATGTTAATACTTTGTATAATGCATAAAATATTAAAACCCACCCGTTTATTTTTATTTTACTTTTACCAATTTCAAGTTAGTTTCCATTGAATACCTTATTTATTTTATTATTTTTGTATCATTTTAGTTACATTTCTCATTTTTCATTTTTTATATTTATTATTTTTATTTTTTAAACTAAGACTAATCTTTATAAAAGGAAAAAGAAATGATGATAGAGGTAGAAATTAATTTTAAAAATTTAAATGAAAATTTAAAAATATAAAAAATGAAAATTCATTAAAAATAATCCCAACTTTCATTTTGTTGCCTAAAATGGGCATTTCCGTTAACCCTCTGTTAGAAACTTAACGGTGACCCAAAACTGGCAAATTTCAGTAAAGTTGGGATTATTATGCATCACAGTGAAAGGTAGGATTATTTTTGAAAGACCGGGTAAAGTTGGGATTATTTTGGGTAATTTTTCCAATAAGTAAATGATATCATATCATATTATCATCACATATATCATACTCCCTCCGTCCTTAATTTAATTACAAATTAGGATTTACGAGGAGAAATATCTCACTTTTTGAATTCATCTTATTTAAAACTTGATATATCGATAAGAAATAAAAATTAAATATTAAAAAAACTTCGTCAAAAGTTTTACAAAACAAGAGGTGGCAAGAATATTCTATTTTATCAAATATTTAATGAAACTATGTAAACAAACAAAAGTTATCGAGAGAGAAGAAAAAAATTACAATCAATTAAGGGACGGATGTAGTATCTTTTTTACCATAATATTTGAGACTTAACGCCCTAGAGATTCAACATGTGAATAGTTTACTTACACTATTTTTGACAACTCAACCGTCCATCTATGTTACTACCTACGGAGTAATGACTTAGGCTCCGTTCCGTTCAACTTATTTTTTCTGATCTGATCTGATTCTAATAAGTTCTGATCTGATCTGGTCTGATCTGATCTGATCTGATTGGATCTGATCTGATCTGATTGGATATGATATGATCTGATCTAATCTGATTGGATCTGATATGATCTGATTGGATCTGATCTGATCTGATCTAGTCTGATCTGGTCTGATCTGATTAATTATGATTTAATTTAAAATTTCAAATCAATAATTTAATTTGACTTTATAATAACATTTGAAAATTGTAATGATAATTCATATTATAATATAATCAATATTTTTTATTTAATGATTATTTTTAATAAAATAAAAATAGTTAATTCATATATTAGAATAATCTAAGTATAATATTACATTATTATAAAAAATAAAATACTATTAAAAAAACATTTTAATCTTAATATGTAATCTTATTTATAAATTAAATCTATATGTAATTTTTCATTAATTTAAATCTATTAGTTATATATCTTCTCTATCATAAAAATAATTTTTATCTCATCCTTATAAAAGATCAAAAGTTTAGAAACTCAAACTATAAGTAGCAATAAAAATATATTTTAAAAGTAGAATTAGATTGATATTGTCAATGTATTTTAAAACTAATTTTTCCGATGTCTAATAATTAAAGATTACTTTCTCAGTTTTCTATTTAACCTATTTCTAAAGTTTATTCTTTTTCATTTTTAAGACCAATAATAATAATAATAATAATAATAATAATAATAATAATAATAATAATAATAATAATGATGATGATGATGATGATGATGATGATGATAATGATGATGATGATAATAATAATAATAATAATAATAATAATAATAATAATTCTTGATGAGATCTGATTTTAATAAGTCCTGATCTGATCTGATAGGATCTGATCTGATCTGATTGGATCTGATCTGATTCGATCTGATCTGATCTGATCTGATCTGATTCGATCTGATCTAATCTGATCTGGTCTGATCTGATCTGATTTTAATAAGAATAAGAAAAAATAAGTTGAACGGAACGGGGACTTAGCAATTCTATTTGGGTTTTAAATATGCAAGTATCGTTTAGGCCTACTAGCATACTCTTCATTTGTGAAATAAGAGGCCTTTTGCGATTGGTCATTTGCACACCTTCTGAGCCACTCATATCTTGGGTGATCCAGCTGCAGTCCGTATAGTTATACTTCTTTTTTTTTCCTTTTCCAATTAGGAGCAGTTAATCGAGGTGAGTGATTAATCTCTTGTTGGAATTAGTTCATAGATTAGGATTCATTGGGACGTTTCGTTCAATTGATGTTGAATTCGTGAGTATGAATATTGGATTGTGTGGTTGGTTATGTTGAATTTGGAATTTGGTTTGATTTGGGGATTCGGATTGGGTTGCTCTGCTCGTGTTCTGCTCTCCTCTCCGCATTCTCTTTTCTTTGCTATCTCTTTCTGTCCTTTTCTGTATTCACTGCCGTGTTCTGAACCTCGATGGCCGCCGCCGCTACTGTACTGGTCGCTGAAGCCGGCGGTTGACACTAGCTCCGCTGTTAGTTCAGTTTGGAGGTTCGTGCCGCCGCGGGTATGGATCGCTGAGTCGCCGACGGCTGTCCCAGTCGTCAAATCTGTTTCCACATGTCGTTGAATCAAGTCTCCGGCGGGGATTGCTCTTTCCCGGGTGGAGCTACCGTCGTGGAACGCCATCTCTGTGGCTGTTCATAGCTTGAAGAGTCGCATGGCGTCTGCGTAACTTCCCTTGGAGCTGGATTGGGATTTTGGGCTGAACAAGGAGGCAAATCTAGCGTTCATAACATTAATGATAAGTGTTCAAAATTATACATTGGCCACAAACTTTCCAATTTCATAGAATTTGGCCCTACTTTGCATTTGGTCATAAGAAACAAACCATTGTCATCAACCCAAATTTTACTGATAAAATGTGTTGGCCTAAAAAAACGTGGAAGTATGTCACCTACTAATATTAGATGGTTTTGAATTGAATTATAAATCTGAATTTCTTATGGTAATGTTTTACAAATAAACATGTATGCGCTACTTTAATCCTTTTTTGAGAATCATGATTCATTTATTTTGGTTTAGTTTGAACGGCCTTTGCTAAAAATGTTTAGGTTGACGGATTCGTTTATTTAGATTAGAAGTATGTTGGATATTGTTTTACAATCTTTGGCAACTTTGAATTATTTACTCCGATTAAACTATGATATACTCTTATTTAGATATGAATGAATGTTTTATTTTTAAATGTTTTAAATTTTTTATGCATGTGAATACCAATTTAGTAGCAACTTGATTCGCTAACTCGATGTTTCGAGTTACACGGGTCAGAGTGTTTTTATACGGAGCGATAAAAAATCAATGTTTAGACATGCAAATAAGAGGCTATTCTTTAGGATTGAAAAAAAAGCTAGATGTTTGAAAAACTCGTATAAGAAACTGGAAAATTGGAAGAAATTAGAAAAAACGGGAAGAATCTAGAAAAAATTAAAAGAATATAAAAAAACTAGAAAAAATTAGAAAATCTAAAAAGACTTTTATCAAAATATTTTGTGTGTTTTTATATTATTCTCATTCTAATTCTTGTTGTTATAAATTATTATTATTATTATTATTATTATTATTATTATTATTATTATTGGTATCATCACGTTATCTTAATAAATGCCTTTTAAACAATATATTGTTATTTTTCATATAAAAAACTACTTTTGAAAAAAAAAATTAATTAGAACACAAAATTAGCATAAATATCAAAATGCTAAATACTTAAAAGTTATTATGGCTATGCCGTATTTATCATAAAATACTCCCTTCGTCCCAGAGTATTTGTCCAGTTTTGACTTTTGGAACTGTTTATCTAAGCACTTTGACTCATCAAATTTTCTTAATGTGTAAGCCTAAATATAGTATGTGTGATTTTGTTTGATTTGTCTTAACATATAAACTATTAATATATAATTTTTATAATTTTTTAATATACAAATTACAAGATAAAATGGATTAAAGAAATGTATTGGATGATGTGTAAAAATAAAAGTGGACAAATACTCTGGAACGGAGGTAGTAATATATTTACAATTATGTTTTATATGTTATAAGATTTGGTTTAAATATAAAACATGCCATATATTGTAATCAAACCATTTTTTTTAATAATTGACATTTTATTTTCATTGTAACCTACTTTTGGAATAAGGTCATAAAACTTTTTTTTATATATTTTTTGAATTTAGAAATCAAACCTTTTTTTATAAAAATCAGAAAAATGAAAAGTAGAAAGATTTTGAAGAAATTAAAAATAGATTGAAGAAATGTGAAAGAAACTGAAAATTAAGAGTTTAAGCGAACATGCTCTAAATATATAAGAAAAATAATTTTAGATTAAAAAAGAATCCACATTTAAGGAGTACATAGAGGAATTTTTTTAACCCAAATCATATATGACTTAAACTAAAGTTCAAAACTGAATCTGACCCAATGAGTAGTGACCCAATCCACAAAGGCCCTATAGCATTAAGATGACCCAAATCACATATACTGTATAGATCTTACCCTGCTGCGGCTCGCTCCCTGGAGAAAACCAAAGGCTCACCTCGTCCCGGCAAATAAACCATCTCCGTCTTCATCCTCTCCACCGCCAGTATCGGTTTGATATAGATCTGTCCTTCCACGCGGTTGAGAGAAGTTCTAGCATGAAATCGGCCGACAGAACTAATTTATCAGGTGAGTCTCTCTTATCTAATGTTTTATAAATAAACGGCCTTTGCTGAAGATTTATTGACTCTCTCACTCTCTCTCCCTTGCTGCTCTTCTTTTAGGTAAGCGGAAGCTAGATCCAAAATATGAGTCAGAGACCAAATGGACCCTGAAGAAACACAAGGAAAGATCCGAGGAGAAGGTAACAGTCCCATTCCTCTCCTTCTTTGAGAACAATTTTCCCTACACTCTGTTCTAATGGCCACTCGTAACAGGAGACAACGCAAGGATTTGCTGATAATCTCCTCCAGGAGGTCAAAGGAAGGGTTGAGTTGGTTGAGACAAAGTCTGATGCTAATTTAATTCTAGTCAAGGTATCATTTTTTGTAAATTTTGATATTCTCTTGTTTGCCAGATATAATGATGGTGTTCAATTAAGCATCTTGTTCTTATTATTCTGTCCAAAATGTGTTCCAACGGGGCTACTCATCCTGTAACAGGGGACAGTGCAAGGACTTGATGAAACTCCCCATTTTGTTGAGGTGCCTCTTCTTATCATCTCTTCATATAACCCTGTTTATGTTTAGCTTTAGTGCCACCGCAAAGATGACTCATTACGGGGATGAATCTGCAGGTGGTGCTACTTTTTGCTACTATGCAGTTCAAGTCCTTTTCTCCTTATACCCGTGCTAACACACTTGCCTGCTAAATTTAGGGGGTTGACGTAAGAAAAAAGACGCTCATTGTTGACAACCTCTCTTCTCAAGCCGGAATATCAGACATGTAATTTGCACCTTTATTTCCCTCTTTTGTTCTTGGAGCAAGTTTTTCACGACTAACATGTGATCCTCCCTTTTCACAGCATTGATTTCTTCGAAGATGTTGGAAAAGTTGTTCAAGTTACAAGAGTTGTAGACCACATGGGCTTCGATCTTGGCTCTGGCTCTGTTGAGTTTGCTTCTGCCAACGAAGCAAAGAAGGTAAGAGTAGCGCGACTTATATGAAATTTGTACAAGTAGTTATTTGAAAGTGCCTTTTGCTGATCAAATCTCTTTTGTACTGCAGGCGCAGGAAAAGAAGAATGGTGACTATTTGTGTGGTGAGAAAATTACTCTGGGCTTGGCTAAGGTAACCCCATACCCTCATACTCCAAGGTAGATTGATTTTTCATGTTTTGGAGATTTGTTTCTATAACTTATTGCTGGAGTTTTGATGCCACTGCGGATCATTAATGCATCTGTTTTTGTTAATCAGGTTTTGCTTGGAACACAAGGTTTGGTAAGTGATTTAGCTACTTGCCACATGAGTTTGTTATCAAGAGTACACTAGTTGAAGTTTCTGATATACATGGAGAGCTCACAAGGGTTTTCGAAATTCCAGGTACGAAGACTACATTCGACGAGAAAGCTTTCCGATAGGGGAAGAGGAGATACCTCCCCATTTTTTTAAGGTACCTACTCTTAGTATTATCCTCATCATCTTCAGTATATGTCTGGCTCAGAAGAGACACTTAGCTTTTAATATCCGAACTGTTGTTGCAAAGTTGTAAGATGACTTGCTCTCAGAATGAATCTGAATCTCTTGATGAGTATACTCTTTTTTGCTATGCCATTTAAGTC